ACTTTAAAGAAAGTTTCGTTTCTTGTCAAGGCCTTTGGCTTGCAGAGGTGTAAGGAGAGCTGCAGCTCTAGCAGCATTATGCTAAATTTAACTCTAAATTAGAAGGGATGTTTGGGCATATCTCCCTTTTTCACTTCGTGCTGGCATGCTTGGGTGCGCCTCGCAGCAGGACATCAAATCCCTGCAGCTGACTCTAGGGCATGAGCTCGGAGAAGCCGTCACTGATGGTGGCTTTCCAAGCAGAGTTAGATCCACCCAATTACCTCTCTTTGCCCAAAACATTCATGGCTTGATTCTGCTTCCATTGAAAAAAGCCCAGCTTTTTAACCACTGGGTTTAATGAGGGAAGAGCCAGGCCCTGAGTTTGCATACGGGCAATGTTCAAACAGTATTTCTTGGAAACGGCTGATTGCACAGTATTAATAGCAAAGGGCATGTGGTGACAATGTTTTTTACCACGATGACTGCCAGAGGAATTAATCATGATTTACTGCTGACATTAACGAATTACAAAACTTTGAGATTCTCACCCACTCATGTGAGGCAATGTGCCTGGCTCCTGGGATGAACAAGGATGACTCTAACGTAGGAGAGGTACAGGTGTCTCTCAAGCATTATCATTTTAAAGCAGGGATTGTCTTCACATTTCCCTCCTCCTCACTCCTTAAAGTAAAGTTTACAAACCATAGTGTGTGCATATGTGCACATATAAGATGGCAATACTGGCATTTCTGTATGTAATTAAACTTTAGCCTAAACAGGAAACATTTTTCTGCCTTCTCTAAACACCGGGGGACATGATAAAATGGGACACAAACCTAAGTGTCAAAGCCAAGAAAAGCCTTGCATCTCCCAAAGCAGACCTACCTCTGCCTTCTCCATAATTAATTTCTAATTCCTTGGTGGCCTTATGTGCCCTAACTAACTTATTTCTGTTAACGCCAGACTTAAATAAGTAATTACTGAAGCTAAAATGATTTCATTAAATGAAAAGACATTTTACAAAATATATTAGAGCTTCAAATAAGGTATTTTACTAGTGTCCTTTTTGTAAAATAGCCACAAAGAGGTGCTTGCTGTAATTAGGATGATTACAAGTATTAATTTTATTTCCAGGAATTCTTGTTGGTGCCATTTACACCCTGCATCTCAAGCTAAACTGCAGGAATACAATTAATGTCTAGACCAGTGCTAACAAAAGACTGTCAGGGAGCGGGCGGCTTAAAGGTCTCCGCAGCGCCGGGAACGCCATCTGCGACGCGCTGAGCTGGCGGGTTGAGTGCGGGCTGGGGGCCACCCGTGACCAGCCAGCCCCCCTGCAGCCCCAGGAAAGCAGCTGGGGGGCTCACGGGACAGATCCCCCACCAAACAGAGCTACACGAGAGCCGATTACAACAGAACCCGTTAAAAACGCAATTTTGATATTTTGCCTGAATTTTGCATTTTTGCCCCCAATTTTTTCCTTGTTGAGGAGGCTTCATTCCGGTGAGGGAGAGGGAAAGTTGTTTGCTCACTGTCTGCAGGGCTGAGAGGCAGCGGTGAGCCATGCCGGGCCGGGAGGAGGCCTCTGCCCCCCGGCGCTGGCACGCGCCGCTGCCCGGCGTGGCGTTGGGTGGGCATGGCGGAGAACGGGCTGTCCCCCCCTCCACACACAAGGTGGGGAAGGTCCCTGCTTTGTCGCCTAACTTGCCCTCTGTTCTCATCAGCTCTGCCGAGGACGGTGATGCTGTCACTGTGAAGGGCAGGAGCACGGTGTCACCAGCCCTCTCTTGCGGGAGAGGTGGGTCGCAGGGGTGAGGACGGGCTCGCCCTGCCATTTCGGAGAGCAGCCTCGTTAAACAGCTTCGGTGGTGCGACCCCGCCAAGTCCTCTAGGACAGCTTCTGGTATGTATGTATTCTGAAACGCCAGCTTGTCTAGCCTTACTCAGCACGACGCTCAAACTTGTTTTTAAATTAAAGGTGCGAGCGTGGCTGAATCGGGACCGTGGACACGAGTCTGACGGCGAGGACATGAAAAGCCTTTGACTTGCTGGATGGTTTCCATCACGTGGAAATGCCTCTGTAATTGCCACACACACAACTAATGATGAAAATGGCATTTTAGCCACGAACCAAGTGAAAAACCCCTCTGTAAGTGTCGAGGTAATTGGTGTCACAGTGCCGAGAAGCTCAGATCGCTATTTCAGGAGCTGAAATAACCTGACGTTGCTGGAGTGCAGGTATTTGAAATACTCCGGAGGAAAAAAGCTAGTTTGTATTGACTGGTAGCTACATGTCTTTGGAAGGACCTACGTTTCTGAGCAACCCAACAGAATTAAATCTTGTTAACTTTTAAGATGTTTTGATTTCATCTTTTTAAGGCCACGTGTGTGGGGGGAAATAAGGAGAATTTTACAGAAACAAATTTATGTTTTTCTCTCTTCTGAACTAATGCACAAAGTTTGGGGCTAAAATTTTAATGACTCCAAGGTTGAAGGGGTCAGAGAAGGCTGGTTCCCGCCGGCCAGAACATTTACACCTGTGCAGAGTACGTGCATAAAGTTTCCATCTGAATTGGTGGAAATTTTGTATTAATCTTGCAGTAAGTGACTCTTAGCTTTCATTTGTGTGTCTGAACGTTATCTGCTGGCTACTGCCTTGAAGAATAAGGAGAGATTGCTATGTGGTATTGCACTTTAATGTCTGCACAAATTTCCAGGGGGGCTTGTTGCCAAATTACTGTCACCTTCTCCCAAGGGAGGGCAAGGGCATGTGGTGGTGGGGTGAAGCCGAATGCGAAGCAGAAAGGTGGGGGTATCCCGTCCAGATGTGAGAGCCGGTGAGGGAGAGAAGCTGCTTGTGAAGCCAGCTGCAGCGTGCAGCACTCCTGTGAGAGCGGGCAGCTGTGGGGTTTTTTTTGTTTTGTTGGGTTTTGGTTTTTGTTTTTTTTTTTTTTTACAGCCAGCTTGTATTTTTGAAAAAACTAGATCAAGCTGCCTGCAGTAGAGCTTTGGTCTAAAGCCAGGCTGTGCTGGACAAATGCAACTCCTGTGTCACCCACCCGAGGCTCCCGCATCCCTGTGTTGAGGTTCCCCTGCCTGCTAGGGCTCCTGGAGGAATAAATCATCTCTTCGTGGTGGTTTGCAGAGAGATGGCACTCTCCAGTTACCCGCCTCGGCTGGCCAGTCACCTCGTGCTACGCCCAGCTGGAGGAGGACACGGCACTGGCACCGGCACTGCCTCGAGGTTGCTGCAGAAGGGAGTTACTGAAGTGACTGCTCCAATCTTTGTCATTTCGTACGGTAACAACCGGCCGCTGTCACAAAGCTGGGGGACCGGGGGATGCTCTCGCCACTTTGCAGAAGCATCTGTTTTAGATGTGTGCTAACTCCCCATGTGTGAACTTTGCTGTTGGACTGGAGATGAGTGCAGCCTCCTAACGCAAATAAACAGAATGAGTAAGCTGTGAAACAAAGGCAAATAGAGTGAAAGAGAAAAAACAAACACAGATGGCAGAAAGCCGAGGAAGGCGCCTCCTGCTAATAAGTGAATCCTAATGACAAAGGGAGGATTGCTGGCTGCCCAGCCTCTCTGCATATGCACTAGCAAGCTGAAAGCCCACATCTTATATAGCAGCTGGTGATGTGTGACACTGCTCTGAACTGATTTTTCTCTTTTAGTTCCTCCCCTTAGTCAGAAACCACTGCTGGCTCTTGGCTGTTTGATTTCACTTGCCCCCTGCAAGCCACCCCACATCCAGCTCCAACTCCCTGGGGTCACCTGGCCTGGACCACAGCCTCCTTCTCTTGCCTCCTCTTCACACCCATGAGAGCGAGGACAGCATCGCATCTGTGCTGCCAGCTGGCCGGAGAAAGAGGTGACTTCTCTTGGAGGACACTGATGCCTCTGGGCAGCGCTTTCTGTTCTGCTCTGCCATGCCTCACCTCATTTTGACACTACAGGGACAGCTGACTTTGCTGGAGGTGCAGTTACTCAGAAGAGCGTGTCCTCTAACAGAGTAAACACAAGCTCTGTAGCCTTTGGGGAATAAAGGGAAATACAGTAAAAGTTCAGGTATTGCTCTGCAAATGCATGCCTCCAGTAGGCTGGGTATGTTCAACCTACATAAATGATGTACCTCCAGACCTGGAAGCAATTTCCTTTACCATGTCAGTAGGTGTCTTATAGAAATCTCCTTGGAGTGTTTTGGTCCTGAGAGCAGACTAGCACCATCGGCCACTCCTCATCAACGACAGCAGCATAGGCAAGAAGCTGAGCTGAGGGACTGCAATCGCTGCTCGTGGCGGGCACTTGCATCCCTCTCTGGATGGCCCTCATCCTGCACGTACCTGTGTGTGCCCACGGGGCAGTGGTACACTGCTGGTGGCAGTGTCTCAGGGTGTCCTGGTTTTGGCAGGGATAGAGTTAATTTCCTTCCTAGTAGCTGGTACAGTGCTGTGTTTTGGATTTAGGATGAGAATAATGTTGATAACACACCGATGTTTTAGTTGTTGCTAGGTAGTGTTTACACTAGTCAAGGACTTTGCACAAGAAGCTGGGAGGGGGCACAGC